TACAAGATATTTCTTTGTAAAATATTATGAAAAGAATATTCGCGAAATATTTACATTACAGCTAACAGCTAATATAGGAGATAATTGTTTTTGTGATTGCATTTTGGGACTTGTTGGTATTTTATAGAATGTTCCTGTAATATTTGCAAAATATTTTGAATATTCAAGTAATATCTATTGCAGTTAATTCTTCTAATATGTAGAGGGAATAAATGTACGTTTAACATTACCAGAAAATAAAACGAAGGAAATATATTAATAATGAATACATTTAATTTAATTTTTATAGATCCATGGTAAGTTTTTGCGGGTTGCTAATAATCATCAAATTCGCCCGTACGAGCCATGAGAAATACATGAAGAAATAAAATGACACTTCTGACTTAGGATTTGAGTTTAAATTTCCCACAATAATTATTAATTTTGGCAATATTATTTGGTACACACATGCCTTTTTATGTTGTCCGTAACGTCTTCAATGTATATTTAAAAAAAATTACTAATATGTTCATGCCATGATTTCGAAACCATATTATTATTATTAAGAGAATTGACCCAGCCCTCCCTATCGGTCTTGATATAATAGCAAGGCATACACATAAAGAAGATGAAAATATGTCACGGGAATTTATTGAAGGATTTATTTCCATATACACGGGACATCCTTGTTTGTGGCAAATAAAATGTGTACACCAACAAAAATTTGAAGGCGGCGGCTTAGGACAATTTAGTTACTTACTGTAAATCAAATGGATATTCGAATGCAAACAAGGATTTTGTGATGAAGATTCAAAATTTGCGAGGATATTTTCGCAAAGAAAGGAGGAAAGTCGAATCGTCAAAAATAACAGGACATTTACGAACCAAATCTATGGTAGGTACTTTAATCTGATGCTATTTACGAAAGACCAGGAAATGCCAAGTAATAGCCAAGAAAGTGGAATATTTGTTGAGCCTGAAGAATACATTGATGAAGCGAGTAATATATATGTGGAAAATTAATCTGAGGAACAATATAATACCGCTACCAACCCTATGCATACGAATATTACTGAATTTTAGAAAGGTTTGGGGAATGGCATACATTCTGATTCTTAGTAATATTGAGTGAGATATACTATTCTACTACTACTATATTTCAGTTTTAAATTGACAAACACAATATTTACTGAGAACTCTAACTTCCTTAGAAAGTTCTATATGAAATTTTGTCAATTGAAAACTGAAACACCCTGTGTATATATATACAATAAAGATGAGTAGGGTATTTTAACCATTTGTCAGTATCCCCCCTCCACTTTCGCCCTTGAAATGACATATGTGGTGATGTATGAGGCGACGGTGAACGACATTGAAGCTCCCATAAGTTGGTAGCCTTTATTTGGCGTCTATGCATAGTTATAACATTCTTCGCAGTTGGTAAACGACATTGAAGGGTGGGTTGAAGCAATCACCTTCGTTGACCTCTATATTTTTTACAATATTGTGCAGTGTGCGTGCAATGGGGTGACATTGTGACGTAATGCATTCGAATTGTAGTGGACCGGATTTTCTATATAATAGAGGAGATCATAGGAGAGAATCACAATTTCGGTCAGTGCCAGCCTTGTGTAAAATAGTGTAAATTTTGTGTTGTTTTGTGATCCATATATATATTAAAAACTGTAGGTTACTCTCACTCCCACACTCAGTCGCGAAAAGTGACGACTTGCCATATCAAAGGCCACATAGCGCGGCCCGAGGACCGAAAGCCCAAGAAACTCAAGTCCGCGTAAGCGAACTTGCCTACCTTTCTAGTCAAATCTTTTAAAGCGAGAACTGTTGTATTTATTGCTAACTAGATATTTTAAGGAATTTATTTTTAAATATAAAATGGTATTATCGGTTTATAAATTAGATAAAATGAATGGTAATATTAACGGCGATTTCCAGGGTATTGCCCGAAGGTCAATTTCCAAAAAGGGTTACACATGTGACAGAGGATATTTTGAATACAATGAATTATTATTGGGAGCAGTATGCGCGATCTTCTATAAGTCAAAGCAAACCTACCTTTAAAGATGCCATGTAAAGCATTGATAAAATTTGGAATTATCAGCTAATTTTATTTTAAATTTTATTATTTTTATGTCTTATATATTCTAATCAGTATAATTATAAATATTTACACTATTTAGTTAGAATTATATACGGTTGTGGTTGTTTTTTTTTTGTGTAATAATTTGCTTTATTTTTACTATAATATCCATTTAACCGCAATGTTTTTTATTTATAGAAAAACTATTAAAAAATGTGGATGCATTATGCTAGCCAAAATTGGGGTGAAGCAGTCGACATCCAGTCAGCTGTGAAAAAATTGATGAATGAGTTGGATTGTCTGGCGATGGATCGTCTTCACGCTTGTAATTATAACATGGATTAGTGCTTTTTCGAAGAAAAATTAAACAGTTGGAAGAAGATCGTGAAATGTTTCGCCGTGGTGCCTCGTTATGTAGCGACACTTTAAATTTGAACAACTTTTGTGGAAAAACGGTGGAGATAGGACTAAGACAGTATCTTATTCCTAATTTGTTCGATTATCTGTCATATGCCGTTGTAGTGAAATACAAGTTAACATATCAAGAAAATGGTGATGACGAACAAGATAACGATGAAGATAAACAAATATAGCGTGAAATTGTATATAATGTATACATTATCTTACATATATTTATGTAGTTATGTAATTATGTATATTTATGTAGTTAAAAAAAAAACCAGTGATGTATTTGGGATTGCAGTCAATAGTGCTAAGGGCTAATGTAATAAGGGCACTCTGTGTTGTTGTCAAGCTTTCGGAAATGTTTATTTCCTTTCTCAAGACATAAACGTGAGATTATCCTATAAAAACCATCAAAAACGAAGTATACAAGAACATTGCTAAAATTTTTAATTAAAAGTAATTGTAACTATAGTCAAACATTCTATTATAAACAATAATTTTTAAGTCAATTTTTAAAATTTAAACAACTACTACAGTAAAAAGGAGCCATGCCTTTGAATTGTGAACTATTTTTTCTAACTATCAGAACCAGTTTTTTTTTTAAACAAAAAACACCTAATATTCAAAACTAGTAACAACCAATGAGGTTAAAGAACAACAAACAGGGACATTTAGCATTACCAACCACAGTACCAACTCAACACGAGGCGGCAATTCAATCCAAATTTGAAAACGATATAGGAAAATTTTTTGATTTATCGAAATGTAATAAAAAATTGTAAATACAACTCAAATTATTAATATCTGACTTCTTATTCAAAGTATTAGAAAATTCGTTGATACGGACCATTTCCAGAAAAATACGCTTATTATAATTTGTTTCACTGTCCAAAACTGTGACACCATTAAAATTCATTTTGTGTCCTGTACTTAATGTATGTTCTGAAAGAGCACAGGACGTTTTTTTTAAATTGCAATCACTTTTGTGAGATGTTATTCTACCTTTAAGAGTGCGGCCTGTTTGTCCAATATATGTCTGATTACAATTAAAACAATCTATTTTATAAACCACCCCCGATTTTTCAAGTTTATGGTAAGGCTCTTTAGTTCTAGAAAAAAGTCTGTTGCCAGTGAGTAAATTTTTATATCCAATTTTAACATTTAAATCTTTTATAATATAAAGTAACTTTGGTGCAAGTTCTTTTAGAAACAAAAACGATTTGTATTTGGGCGCAGCGACTTGTATATTGTTGTCAGTTTCTACACTGTTATCAAAAAATCTATTTTGTAATGGGGGGACATTATTAGTATCTGTATTGAACAAAATTTTATTAACCAGACTTTCCGGGTAGGAATTCTCTATGTAGTTAGGAGTTCTCTATGTAATTCTCTATTTATGTAGTTATGTAAATTGTATACCATATTAATAAATTCTATTGTATTAACACTTTTCTTATGATGTAAGTGCTTAGTATAAATAAAATAAATATATCATTTTAAACTTTTATTATTGTTATTTATTACATGAATACAGAAAAAATACATTATATAAATATTTTATATAAATACACAAAATATAAAAATATTATACATTAACTAAAAAAATTGATGTTGATATTTTCTATGTGTTTGCTTTTACTATTGGTTTGTTTGTCATGTAATAACAATTATGGCACGTAATTAAATTCCGCGCATTAAAGGGAAGCGCTTTTACTTTCACCTGTGTCCCATTCTTTCGGAAATGGCATTTTGTTACTTGTTTACTAGTTGACATGTTTAAAAAGAAATGAATCCTTTTGTCACTTCTCTGGTGTCACTTCTCTGGCGTCACTCCTCTGGTAGTTTGTACGCCAGGGGAAACACATGTAATTCAAGGGAATGACAAAAAATGTAACTTGATAGTTAATATTTTAACACTATTTTAATGTTTTAGTTAGTTGCTTATGATAAACATAAGCCAAATATCGTGATGAACGTCAAAAAAAAACAAACGAGAGAAGAGACTGGAAATTTGTCACTGCTCTGTGCATAGTGTCACTCCCCTGACCATACATTTTCCCCTGGTGCCTATAAATCTTAAAAAATAGAAATATCTTCTGGTCCTTATCACTACAGATACATAAATATTGCCAACTTGTGAAATAATTAATACTATATTAATTTGATTAATTTTTCTTTGGGTACACCGAAAATACATTTACTGTATAATATACAAAACATATTTACAACTTAAACTAACAATTCACTCCATTATTTTCTACCCATTCGATTTAACCTTTTCAAGACTTTTCTCTCACTCTTTTTCCTCATTCGCTCAATATTGTCTATATCTAACTACAACGACCTGATGTCAGTGTCAACCACCCGCAACTGCTCCAACAACATCGCCCTATGTTGGCGTCTCTCCTCCAGTGTTCGCCGCAACTCGGAGACTCTTCGACCCCGTTCGGCATCTTTCTGATTCAATTTTTCCATGAATCGGAAAAATGCCGAAACGATGCCTTGATCAGTTGCTTACGAACACTGGATTTCATCGCCGCTGTTGTTGTCGCTATGGGTGGTTGTCACCGTTGAAGGTGCTTCCATTTGGACCGCCTGGGGTACAGGTCCTGTTTGGGGTGTAGGTTCCGGTTGGAGCGCTAATGGTGTCGCCTTCTCCACTAATGGGGCCGCATGCTGCTCCGGTGTCGCCAGCCAAAGATTGATGTTCATCGGACCCTGGACCACTAGCGCAGCGGTGATTGACGTTACCAGCACACCCTCCTAGGATGTTAATAGCGTGTTGCGCCACCACCTTTGGTGCGGATTTTTGTAGTATCTGCCATAACGCGGAGGATTGATGATGATCCGCCTTCTGTGTTTTTTCTATCCGACCACGTTTCGATTACTTGGATGGCTTGGAAGGCTTCAATGGCTTCGATGACGTCTTCTTGAATGGCCCTAGCGTTGGCGTCGGTTGGAAGATGTCATCCTCCAGGTCACTTATTGGCGACTCCATGGCAGGGAAATCGTCCCGAATGTCAGCCAACGCCTTCGACAATATATCGTCCGAGGGAACGACACCCACATCGGCAGCAACGACACTAGCTCGTGGCGCTACGAAATGCTGATCATCGTTTTAATGCCCATAAACAGCTTGCAAACGACTCCGCTCCTCAGGGATCATTTTGGGTATTGGCTTATCCACACTTGTCTTCCTCCTTGAGGTGGTTGGGTGCCGCGGTACCGTACTTGATTTGCCCATGGTTAATCACTAAACACACACTTGAACTGTTGCTGCTGAAGCTGTCGGAAAGGCTGAGTGACTTCAGTGTGCTGCTCCGTCTTTTTATCTGCTCCGAACTGTACTGCGCACGCGTGACCAAATATGTATACATAACCAACTCGTTTATCTTGGCGTTGTTACTGCGCTGTCGCAGTCTATTTAAAATCCGCTCACGTTTTCAGTCAATGTTACCAATATACTTTTTTTTGTACTAATGCACTATATAATTTCTACATTAGTAAATCCAACAAATGAAACACCTATATTAGTAATTCGCAATTTATTAAACATATTAATTATTCGCTGTGAGCTTCGCTGGTATCGCCACCTAGCGGTTTTATAGCTACAACTTCTGTCGGAAATTTAAAGTGACAGTATTGAAAGTGTATATGCCAAATACAAATGATAGTTAATACTTTTTATTTAATTGCTATAGTTGGATTTTTATAACGTAACAAAGAAGTTATTAGATCGTAATCTATGAATAATATCAGTAAGTAAACAATTTTATTCATTATAATTATTATTTTTAAGATTTTGCACTTCATTTTGTGGTTATGTTGATTGCGAATATTAGAAAATGATAATTTATCCTCCAAAATTTAATTATACTTGCAATAAATAAACAAATGATTAAAAATATGGTCTAAATATAGCAATGTTTATATTTATTTATTTTTCTAGTTTTGGAAAAATTAGTATTTCAATCAAACAATTTACTGGGTTTAAATCTATTCAACATTCAATACAATTTCAACATGAAACTCCTATAAAGGGAAAAAATTTGTAGATGCAGGGCATGTAAGAAATGTATTCGAGTTAGAAAATTGCATTGAAGCATCAATTATTCGCCAAGCATCAGTTTTGCAAACACCATACAACACCAAGCTATGGGTAAGTTAAATAATAAATAAATATTCATTTTATTTTTTTAATTTTAGTTCTTTATTTGAAATTTATTTTTTCCAAGATTACACAAGTTAATGACAAAAGGCATAATGTCAAGGTTTCATGTACCTGTGTTTACGGTCAGAGTGCAAAGTGTAAATATGTTGCTGCTCTGATATATTTCATTAATAATGACCAAAGTAGGACCAAAACTAGTGAAGAAAAGCAGTGGGAAGTTCCAAGTGTTCTGGATGTTAGTTTAAAAAAATTTTATGATGATAGAATTTGCAAGACTGAGGAAGAAATTGAATTTGTGCTGTGAAACAGTTCATCAATATAAGTGTCAAAGCTGGTTTAATGAAAGACGTCTTCGATTAACTGCAAGCAAAGATATTCATAGTATTAAAACTCGCAGAACTAAAACCGTAGAGTCATTAGTCAAGGATTTATTAAAACCAAATAACTTTAGTGTAGCGTCAGCTAGATATTGTATTATAAATGAGCCAAAAGCAAGGAAATTATATGAACAGTATTTTAAATGTGACTCAAAATGTGTTGGTTTAATTGTTACAAAAAAAAATCCATGGTTAGGTATTGGTGTAGATCGAGGATGCACATACCGCGGCCCGCGGGCCGCATGCGGCCCGCTGTCGATGTTTATGCGGCCCGCCAACGAATTTTAAAAGTATTCTACTCGCTGCGCTCCGGTCCAAGCATATTATTACGAGATTAGAAATCTGTCGCATCAACTAGATTACAGATTCGCGAAACACGTCGATCCCTGAACAAAGTGGATGGTTCTCGATGTTTGGTAACTCGTATAAATACGACGCATCGCCGGCTACCGGGGCAGTTAAGTTTTGACTACGGATAAGCGAACGTTATACTGTTTGAGAACTGTAATCTGTGACGAGTAAATATTTCGTCGTTCGAACTTGGCTTTTACCGACTGTAACATATAATATTAATTTTGATATGGATAAACCAGGCCCCAGTAAGAAACGTAGTCGTAAGGTTGAAGATGAAAATCGACAGTTTCATGATATTTGGACCGAAAAATACTTTTTTATTTCATCGCATAACAAAATTGTCTGTTTAATATGCAAGAGTAGTGTTTCTATTCCGAAGGAATATAATGTGAAAAGGCACTATGAAACCCAGCATCCAACTTTTACCAAATTAACTGGCGAAAATCGAACGCAAAGAATTTCCACTTTACAACGGGAACTAATAGGCCAGCAATCTATGTTTACAAAACCAATTCAAGATGCTGAAACAGCCACTGAAGTTAGCTTTGAAATATCTCGAATAATAGCGAAAACTTGTCGGCCTTTTAAAGATGGTGAGTTTGTTAAGCAATGTTTGGATATCGCCGCAAAAAAAATTTGTCCGGAAAATGTAAAGAAGTTTGAAAAAATTCAGTTAAATCGGATGACTGTTCAAAGAAGAATTACCGCATTAGCAGATAATATAGAAGAGCAATTAGCTACGAAATCGAGAAGTTTTGAGTATTTTTCTATAGCGCTCGACGAATCTACAGATATAAGTTCAACTGCTCAACTATTAATATTTTTACGAGGTGTAACGCAAAATTTTGAAGTGAGTGAAGAACTGATTGGTATGAGTTCTTTGACAAGTCAAACCAGGGGAAGTGACATGCTCAAAGCTCTTCTAGAAAAATGTTCTATAATGGATTTGGATTTAACGAAAATATCTGGAATTACAACTGACGGAGCACCTTCAATGGTTGGAAGTACATCTGGGATAGTAACTCTGTTAAAAACATATTTACAAACTAAAAACATAAATACCAAGGAATTAATGCAGTTTCATTGTATTATACATCAAGAGGCCCTCTGTTCAAAATTATTGGGATTTGAAAATGTTATGAAAGTTGTAGTACCTACCGTAAACTTTATAAAATCACGAGGTCTCAATCACCGACAATTCAAACAATTTCTCGAGGATATTGAAAGCGAATATGGTGATCTCCTGTTTTACACTGAAGTAAGGTGGCTAAGTCGTGGGTTGACACTACAGCGATTTCTTAACTTGATTGAAGAAATCCAACTATTTCTGGCGGAAAAGAAAAACGACGTCCCCGAACTCGACAACCCTGATTGGCTGTGTGACTTAGCGTTTCTTGTAGACATCACAAATCACTTGAATGTCTTAAATACGCGACTCCAAGGCAAAGATCAATTGATTTCGCAGCTATACTCTCATGTTTCGTCCTTTCAATGCAAATTGAGTCTTTTCAGGACACAAATCAATTCAGCCAATTACGGCCATTTTCCGAACTACAAAAAAATTATGGAGAAGTTCAATAAAACTGACGTCAATTTCGCTCATGTTGAAAAAATTGATATTTTGATACAAGCTTTTGAAAATCGTTTTGTAGACTTCAAAAAAGTTAAACCGCTATTGGACATTTTCAGCAATCCTTTCAACATTTCACCCGAAAATGCGCCGGAATTAATGCAGCTGGAATTAATAGACATGCAAAATGATGATAATTTAAGAAACAAATTTAATGAAGGTAATTTACTCAACTTCTACCGTTGCGTTGATAAAAACGCTTATAAAGAGTTGCGAATAAATGCATTGAAATGCGCAAGCTTATTTGGATCGACGTATATTTGTGAACAAACGTTTTCAGTGATGAAACTTAACAAAACGAAAAACCGAAACCGTCTGGCAAATGAAAATTTGGAAGCAATTATACGTGTGGCTACAAGTAATGTGGAGCCAAATATAAAAAAACTTGTTAGTTCAATGCAATGTCATGCATCAAAATAATAAAACATGAAATAATACATTGTAATGATTACATAATTATTACAACAAACATTTTTGAAGGTTATTTTATTTTTATCATTGTATTTCATACTATTTAAAAATAAAAAATTTTGTTAATAAATATTGTTTGTAGTGGCCCGTCCTTGGCTTATATTTTTCCCGAGTGGCCCCTGTTCCCTATAAGTCTGTGCACCCTGGTAGATAGTGTTGCTATGAAAAATGGAATTGTGAAAAAAAAATACTGAAATAAAGTGTCCAAGTGCTTGTGAAAAAGTTAGTATAATAGATATAAAAGATAAAATAAGCAATGTGAAGTACTTAATTTTTGAAGGTGACAACATTGTATTGAGTAAAAGCCATCAATATTATACTCAAATTCAAGCACAAATGTATGCTACGGGAATGACAGAAAGTGACTTGTTTGTTTATTCTCCAATGGGTAGTATTGTGGTTATTGTAAAAAGAGACCATGATTTTTAAAAGAAGTGATTCAAAGTGTGAGTTTTTTTATTTTAAACACTACTTATCGGCTTTGTATTCAACGTTTTGTTCAACTAATTGTGATAACACTAAGCAGCAAGGTTCAAATGTAAATGTCGTGCAACGTAGTTTTACTGAGAAGGATATAAGTAATATTTAAAACTAAAGTGATATTTCAAATCAAAATTAATTCCTTCAGTTTTGTTATAATATAATAATTCATCTATGTATATTCTTATAAATAAGTAGAATATCTAACGTTATGTTCAAGTTTTAATGA